CAAATCACAGCCTGAGCCAAATCTAACCTGTGGGCTCTTTTTGTACAGCCCCTGAGATAAGAATGGTTTTTAGATTTTTTACAGGATTATAAAAAACAAAAACAAAGAGTACTAAGTGACAGGGATCACACATGTGACCTGCAAAGCCTAAAATATTTACTGTCTGGCCCTATACAGGAAAAGTTTGCCAGCTCCTGGCCTAGGATATCAGCATCTAAGTCAGATCCAAGCACAGATGTGGCTTCTTGGGTGTGGTTCCTTGACTATGGCTCCTCAGACATGGTTCCTCTTGATCTGAAGACCAGTGGACTAAGGGGACAAAATATCTGTCTCTCACATACCCAATATCTAATGGTAAGGTAGGGACAGAAACTCTATAATAGATACTCCCATTTAAAAAGGGGAGAATAAGAGAGGGGCATGGAAGCTGGTCCATAGCAATTCTGAAACCCAGCTTGTCAAATGATATCACTTCCTTACTTATGCTCACTCCTGCTCTTTGGGAATAATTCTCAGTGGCTCTTTCATCCTTCTTGAGTTATCTTCCCTTTTGGAAACAGCTCATAATTGCAAATGGGTAGCTTCCTCAGCCTGCTTCCTGCCTATAACATCAAAGGTCCAGAGGCCTCTTTTCATTATGAGTAGGCTCTGTCTATTTCAGTGCAAGCTAGTAGAGATCCTTAAAAAGCCAGAGGTTTCTTTTTTTTCTTCTTTTTTAAAATTTATTTATTTTTGGCTGTGTTGGGTCTTTGTTGCTGTGTGTGGGCTTTCTCTAGTGCGGGCGAACGGGGGCTACTCCTCGCCGCAGTGTGCGGGCTTCTCATTGCGGTGGCTTCTCTCGTTGCGGTGCATGGGCTCCAGGCTCGTGGTCTTCAGTAGTTGTGGCACATCGGCTCAGCAGCTGTGTCTCGTGGGCTCCAGAGCGCAGGCTCAGTAGTTGTGGCACACGGGCCCATTTGCTCCACGGCATGTGGGATCCTCCCAGGCCAGGGCTCGAACCCGTGTCCCCTGCACTAGCAGGTGGACTCCCAACCACTGAGCCACCAGGGAAGCCCCCAGAGGTTTCTTACACTTAAAGTTATAATCATCTCCCTTAGGCAAAAGCTGTACTCATATTTCTTGCCAAGACAGTCCCTTCTCTACCTTTTGACACTATTGTAGGACAATGTCATTTAGATCCCCAGAAGCCCTGCTGTCTAGTTGAAAGGATCTGTGAGGTACTACCTTAAATTTTTCTGAGATATTAACTTATCTATTATTGCATAACAAGTTACCTCAACACTTAATGGCTTAAAACAACAAACTGTTATCTCACAGTTTCTGTTGGTTAGGAATCCAGGCTCTGCTTAGCTGGGTCCCTCTGCCTCAAGGTCTCTCAAAGGTTATAAACCAAGATGTCAGCCAGGGCTATGATCTTGTCAACCTAATTTATGTCAGTTTACCATACAAGGTATCACAGATTGGTGGCTTAAACAATAGACATTTTTTTTTCTCACAGTTTTGGAGGTTGGAAAGTCCAAGATCAAGGTGCCAGCCATTGGCGTTTGGTGAGGGCCCTCTTCCTGGCTTGCAGATGGCCATCTGTAACCTCACATGGCAGAGAGAGCAGAAACTCTAGTGTCTCTTCTTACAAGGGCACTAATCCTATCATGGAGGCTCCACCCTCATGATCTCATCTAAACCTAATTACCTCTCAAAGGTTGTACATCCTAATACCATCACATTGGGGATTAAGGCTTCACAATATGAACTTGGGGAGGATACAAACATTCAGTCCATAACAGGTTTCATCTAAGGCTGCACTTAGGGGAAGATCTGCTTCCAGGCTTACTCACATAGTTGTTGGCAGGATTCAGCTCCTTGTGGGTTGTTGGACTGAAAGCCCCAGTTCCTTGCTGGTCCTTGGATGGAGGCCTCCACCATTCCTTGACACATATGCCTCTCTATCAGGAAGCTCACATCATAGCAGCTGGCTTCCATCAAAGGCGGCAAGTGAGAGAGCAAGAGAGGGTGTGTAAAATGGGAGCTGTGGTCTCTTTATAATCTGACCTTGGAAGTGATATCTATCACTTTTGCCATGCTCTTTTCATTAGAAGCAAGTCACTATGTCCAGCCCACACTCACAGGGAAGGGGTTACACAAGTGCTTGAACACCAGGAGGTTGGGGATCACTGGGGGGCCACCGTAGAGGCTGCCTACCATGGGGTCTTCTAGCTACATCCTTGTCTTGAACTTTACCTAAGGCCAGGTTTTCCTGGTTTAACCTTTGCCCCTAGGCCATTTTTTATTTTGAGAGTTTTGTCTTCTGGAGAATCTAGGAACGAAGAAGTTTTATTTCAAATCCAGCAAGTCCTGGCTTCTTTAGGTTTCCTCCAGATTCTGACTGAAAACGGAACAGTTCCTTTTTTCTTTAGCTCACCTCACTTCTCTTGTGCTAAATCATAAGCATCTACAAGAAACCATCCAACCCTTTTGACATTCTATCCAGATCTAGCTAGATCCACATGTTCATAAGGTATCTCTTCTTTCATGTAATAGCAGGCTAGTTTGGCTAATTGTTCTTCCGTTACATATATGGGGTCTCCTTTTCTCCTGCCTGCAGTGACAATACTCTCACTGTCTTTTGACAATGCTCTCCAGGACCTCCCTGGCAGTCCAGTGGTTAAGACTTTGCGCTTCCACTGCAGGGGGCACGGGTTCGATCCCTGGTCAGTGCAGCCACGAAAGAAAGAAAGAAAGAAAAAAAAACCCAATGCTCTTCGCTAGCAGACTCTTCAAAGTTCTTCCAGCTTCCATCTTCCACCTGATCCTAAAGCCACTGCCACATGTTTTGCGTTTTTGTAATGGCAGGATCCCATTTCTAGGTATGCGAATTATGTTTCAGTTTATCTACTGCTGTATAACAAACCACCCTAAAACTTAGTGTTTTAAATATCACATATTAATGCATATATGTAGAATCTAGAAAAATGAACCTATTTGCAGGGCAGGAGTAGACATAGAGACATAGACAGAGAATGGACATGTGGACACAGGGTGGGGAAGCAGGGAGGAAGAATTGGGAGATTAGGATTGATGTATATACACTACCATGTCTAAAATAGCTAGCCAGTGGGAACATGCTATAAAGCACAGGAAGCTCAGCTCAGTGCTCTGTGACGACCTAGATGGGTGGGATGTGGGGGCGTGGGAGGAAGGTCCAAGAGGGAGCGGATATAGGTATACATATCGTTGATTCAGTTCACTGTACAGCAGAAACTAACACAACATTGTAAAGCAATTATACTCCAAAAAAAACCCCTTAGTGTTTTAAAACAAAAGCAGTCACTTTTTTTGCTAAGAATTTTGCAATTTGGGCGACTCAGTGAAGACAGCTCATGTCTCTTCCATGTGGTGTCAGCTGGGGCAGATCAACTAGGGCTGGAGTATCCACTTCTAAGATAACTCACTCACAAGGCTGGGAATTGGCCACAGCTGTCTGCTGAGAGCTCTGCTGTAAGCTGGGGACCCAATTCTCTTCCAGTGGGCCTCTCCACATGGCTGCATGGGCTTCCATAAATGTTGGAGGGAAGTGATTGAATCTCAGAACTATTTTAGGAGGTAAAAATCAGGATGTTGCACAACAATGGGAATATACTTCACATCACTAAACCATACACTTAAAAGTGGTTAAGATGGTAAATACAATGTTGTGTGTGTGTTTAGCCACAATTAAAAATTAATAGATAAAATCAGGGGAGGGTGGTGATGGCCTGGAGGTGGGTGGGGGCAGGGGTGAGGGAGAGAGATGTGTTAAGAATGACAAAAACTAATCAAACACAGCCTCTGGCTTCAAAAACATTTTTGGTCCAGCGGAGGATGTAGAAGAGTTAACAGAAAATCACAACACATGTGCTAGATACTGCAGCTTTCTGCCAAGGTGCTAACAGAGTTACAAAGCCCATGCCATGCAAATTGCCTCAGAATAGACCTTTAACGCCTGCAATTCCCAGAGACGAACATTTAAGGCATAATTATAGGTTTGGATTTCTTAAAGCAAACTTCAAAATGAACACTGCTAGAGAAACAGAAATGAGGAATGAAAACTACAGGTGCATAGAATATGTCCCTATCAATCTAGCAAGCAACCTTCCAGGCCAGAAGCAATGAAGTAAAGTGGTGGGCAGGGGGAAAAGCAGGTGTTTCTTGGTCATTAGCCCTGTTTTTCTAGGATATAAAATCCCTTTGTTGTCTTAGTATGTCTAGAAACTATTGCTACCGAGGAGATCTCATGTTGAAACTTTCTTTTTTTGAAGTAGTAAACAGGTCATAAAGATCATTTATATCCTGAATGAATGTACATCCCCTCCCCCAACTCTTTTGCCTCACTCACAAAGTTGTGTAAATACCCAGTCTATTTATAGATTTTCATTGAGTTTTGCTGGCAACTTAACTCGATTGTTCTTCCAAATAAGTCTAAACCATTCTTCTTAGAAAGGGCAAAATAGGAGTCCCTCTTTTCCTGGTATATTACCCCATCCCCAGGGTGTTTTCTGAAAATATGCTGAATTTCACACTCACCATTGACTGTATGTTATAGATTTCCCTGCTTTATTGTAAATTGCCTGATGTGTCTGTCAGTTGATTGGCTGAGTGGTGGTCTTGGGCCCCTGTGCTGAGTGGTGTGATTTTATTTTTTACTTTTTGAAATCTCATCAGCTGTCCCATTCTGCACAAGCTCTCTATCTAGGGTCTCCCGCAGCAAAATAACGACTGAAGTCCACTTCCATGAAATCTGCCTAGTGCCTTTGTGGTGCTCTCCATGCCGAGACACCTCGGCTAATTCAGTCCCTTCTGCAAGGTCTTGGAAGGATCTGTTCGTATCATTCAAGCCCTAGAATCAGTACCTGATGAGAATGTGTTCATTCATTCAGAAATAATTATTGAGCGCCTACTATGTGTTAGGCACTGTCTCAATGTTGTGAACACAAGAATAAACAAGCCAGACAAGGATCCTCTCATGGAACTTATTCTCATTTTTTATTCCAGAGGGTTTTGACTTTTAACAATGGACAAGGTGCCAACTTGGCTTCAAGACAAAGGAATCAGGTTCTCTGCTTGAGATTAAGCCACATTTCCTTGGATGGGGGTAGGGGAGGTTCTCCAAGCACACTAGGACCACCCAACATCCACCTACTTGTAAGTGGAGTCTGATGGGGACTATCAAGGACTAGGTCAATTGTTATTTTTCTTGGTCCTCGGCCAGGCTCCATGAAGACAATGCCTTTCTGTGGAGTGTATTCAGGAACAGGCAAGAATGGCCAAGGAGGGCAAAGTGCCGGCATTATTGGTCAGCACAGGGGCCCAAGACCACCACTCGGCCGTTGCTCAGAAAGACATTGCCCCCTCGTGGTTCCTTATATAACTGAAGGAAGAATAACTGTACCCTTGCCTCTTCTGAACTTCAGTTGCAATTTCAATAGACTCTTGGTTTATTTTCATCCGGGGGACATTTGTTTTCCCCCGTAGAGAGAAATGACAATATGACATCAATATAATCTCTTTATCAAAATCTCCAGACGCCCCCCAACACCAGAAAAATCCAATATGTAAATCCAAGTATCAGTTCTGTTTTTTTTTTTTTTTTTTTTCTCTTCAAAATGCTCTTAAAGCAAATATTTTCTTTGCTTTTTACCATCTGAACCAGGATCGGCGGTGACGTTGCCGCGGAGTTGTTTGGGGTATCTTGTCTCCACAGCACCACTTTCAATTCCCTAAAAGCAGAAGCCTTATCTTCAACTCCGCCGCCACCCCCATCCCATACCCAGGAGCACTTAAACCAGTCCAGGGTAAAGAATGTCTAGTGGGGGAGGAGGTCGGGGGGGTTGGGGGCGGAGACAAACAGTGAAGCAAACTAATAATAATTAGAAGTTGTGATTGTCGTGTGCTGGAAGGGAAAAGCGTGCTGTCAGAGAGAATTCCTGGGAGTGAGAAGTGAGGAAGAAATCTACCGATGTTTGGAGTTTTAAATTATGTGTCTGTAGCAGTCACTAAGTTTGAAAGCTTAAATGATACAATATTGTAAAAGTTCTCGATGGCTCAGGGAAAGTGGAAATTAATCATGTCAGCTCCCAGGTATGGTAGACTTAACTGGGTCCGAATGGGTGCCAGGTGCTATAGTTTTATCTATCAACCTATAATTTCCTCTAATAGCAAACTCCTGGTAGATAAATAGAACTACTTCCATTTCAGAGGAGGAAACAGAAACAGGCAGTTCTTCCTTCCGAGGTCGGTGCGTAAACAAGCATAGTGCGCCGACGTCCCAGAACGCTGAGTCTCCCTTCTTTCAGCGGCTTTGACCCTCTGAATATCATCTGTCTTGGCCTCCAGTTCGCCTGGCGGTGAGAAATATTCCCTCAGACAACAAGTATTTATTGAGCGCCTATTGTATACCAGATAGCGTACTCAAATAGCCATGGGATTCAAAAGATAAACAGGGCCCGGTCTCGTCTTCCAAAAAGGATCTCCCAAAAGAGTAAAGAGAAGCAGCCACGTAAACAATTCCAGGACAGTCAGAAAAGGGCTGTAGAGGAGTCTGAACAGGGGCGGCGGGTTCGGAGACGCTGGAGAGGTTTGCGAGGGTCCGGCGTCGGAGGTGGGTTTGAAGCTGCGCCCTGAAAACGCTGGCCCGGAGCGGGCTGCCCCCGGATGTCACTCGAGTTCTCGCGCCCTGTCATTTTAAGCTGCCGACTAGGAAGGGAAGAAATAGGTCTAGGCCGGTACTGAAAAGGAGGGGTAGGGATTGGGGTGCGAATCCCTCGTGAAGAGCAAGCAAACAAAAGTAGCACATCACACTTCCAGGTCCTCGCGCGGGCAGGGCCTGCCTCCCCGAAGCCCCTCTCCAAGCTGCGCGAAACGCTCGGCGACCCCCAGGGACCGTGCATGCGGTAGGACCTGACCTTCTCCCCTCCCCCCTCCTCGGCCCTCGCCCTCCGACCTACCGCGGCGTCGGGGGCTGGGGTCCGCCGCTTCCGCCCGCCGCCCGCCGCCCCTCCCAGGCGCGCGCCATCCGGCCGCGGGGTAGCCGCCCTCGGCGCAGCCCCTCCTCCCGCGGGGGGCTTGCCGTCCCGCGTCCCGTTCCTCCCGGCTCCAGCCGGCAGCCCACGTCCAGGGAGGGCGGAGAGAGGAGGAGGAGGGGAGGAGGAGAGAGGGGAGGGAGGGAGAAGAGGGAGGCAGGCGAGAGAAGGGGAGCTGCTTGGAGCCCGTACTTCCCAGAGCCAGCCAGGAGCGCGCATTCAGCGGCTCTCCGGGTCCCAGCCGCGCCCCGCTGCCCCGCACCTCCTTCTCCTCTTCCTCTCCGGGTACCCCTCGCCCCCTCCCTCCAGCAGCTGCTACGCTCGGGCAGCGGCCGCCCCCGGCCCCTACTCGGCCACATCCCCAACTCTCTGGGCTCACTCCTGGGACGCGCGTCCTCACCCCATCCTTTCTTCCTTCCTCCCCTCGCGCCCGCTCGCCCTCTCCAGATCTCCCTCTCGGGTCCCGATTGTCTCCGTCCCCTTCTCGGTCCGCCGGCGCCTCGCCCTGCCCCGTCTCTCCCTCGCACTTCCTGAGTCGCCCGCCGCCGCTGTCTCGCCGCGCCGCGGGAGCCCGAGCCCGAGCCGAGCCGCGCCGCCGCTGCCCCGGCTCCAGCCCCCGCAGCGCCCGGGGAAGGGAAAAGTGGGCGAGCGCGCCCTCGCCCAGCCCCGCGCCCCAGCCCTGCCCGGCGAGGGAGGACCGGGAAGATGAACAACGGCAGCAAAGCCGAGAAGGAGAACACCCCGAACGAGGCCAACCTTCAGGAGGAAGAGGTACGGAGTGGCTCGGTGCGGTGGCGGGTACGACCTGGGACGGCGGCCGCTGGCTTTCTGCGAAGTGCGGGCGGCCGGCCGGCGGGGCGCGGGTCCCGGGGCGCCGGGCTGCGCCGGGGAGGGAACGCCGCGGTCGAGGGTTTGGGAATCGTCCTGGCCCCGAGACACCGCCCCAAACTGTGGCCCCGGGAGGCTGTATCATCGGAGAGTGTGTTTTTGTGGGTCCACGAGCGTCTGCGTGCCTAAAATTGCGTAACTTTGAGGACTTTGCTGAGACCTTTGTAAGTATAATGCTCAGCTTTGTTTGCCCCGGATTTTAAAAGCGGAATCGAGAGCTGACTCCTGGGTGACCTCAGATGATTGGGACCGGGAGGGTCAGCACTTAGCTCTGCGTCTGGGGCTGCAAGTTGTGGGGTGTGTTTGTGTGGCTTAAGGAAGAAAATCGGGTAAAGCTTCTCGTTAAAAGACACCTTCGGTTCCCTGCCCCCTCCCTTTCAATGTGAAAAGTTCTTGGTGAAGTATCTTCTCAGCTGAGGCAGTTTGGATTAATAGATAACTCTTCAGCCGCATTCTTCTCTGATGAGTCAAAGACCCCGAACCTGGATGATTAGGTTTTGTAAGTTTAGGGGCTTTGCGGTTGTGGGGAGCAGAAGCTGAATACAAGAGTTTCAAACTTTGCAATTCACCAAGTGACGATCCAGGCTATTTTAGTAGGACTTTGACGTTTGAGCGTCAATTTCATGTGGTGCGTCCGTAAGAACCGTAAATATGTTAACGGCTGCAGAGCGTTCCTTTGGTGGAAACAAAATTCGATAAACGTGGGGGGAACTCCTGAACAAACATTTCAGAATTTTGTACTTGGGATATTTGTAATATCCTGTTAAATGGCTCAGTTCCTGCAGGTACATTATCTGGAGCCCAGTAAACAATACTTTCCGCCTACTTTTTAAGAAGCCCACGAAACCGACTTTAAACATTCTAAAAGGAACTTTATGTTTAGATGCAAGTATGCAGTCTCGGTAAAAGCGTTTTTACAGGTATTGCATGCTGATGTATGAGGTTAACCGAAAGGTAAACTGATTCTAAAGCGATTAGGATGTTGAGATTATTATGGAGATACTGTGTTGTGTGTAAACTAAAATTCTGATAGTGAAACCAAAGGTTGCGGAGGATTTAACTAAAACATACAAGCCCTCAGCACTTTGTGCACTTGTAAGATAGGAACTGTTTAAATGGGGAAGGCGGAGGGGAGCCCTAAGCCCATGCAAAACAATGCAAAATAAACACAAGATTTTACTCTTAACACGATTGTAAGGTAGTGCAACCCAGGTGAATTGCTGTGAGCCCCAGGTGAATTGCCGTGAACCCCAGGTGAATTACTGTGAGCCAGAAATTTGCCTTCTCACCTGAGGAAATTGCCTTTATTAAACTGTTATTTTGGAAAGCGTTGCTTACATGCTAGTTGTTTTTTAACTGCAAGTGGAGTACTACTGACATTCCTTCTTTTTCAAAGAGATGGAGCCTTGAATTGCATGTTTCGCTTTTTTCTTGAAACTTACCTGCTGCTTTGCTATTTGTTTTCCCTACCACTGAGATAAAATTTTAAAAATAAGTTTGCTTTTTTAAGGAGTTGCTGTGTTTAACTAATTCAGCTAACATACCAAGATAATAATGGCTTCAGAAACCTTTCTGTGTCTCTTAGATTGGCGATCTGTTGACTTCTAAGGGTAAGAATATATTACATGAGACTGTCTTTCTCTCTTCACCTGATTGAGAACTTGGAAAGTTAATCAGGTTAAACCAAAGATTTTTTTTTTGTTTGAGTGACCCCAAACCATAACCTACTTGACAGAATTAGGTAGAGAAAAGTCACATTTTTCTGCTAGACCCATACAGCTTAACTGCCGACAGCACTGGCAAGTTGTCTGCCCTGATCGTGGGCGTCTTAATGTGTGAGGCTTGGGTACTAGCATGATAGAATCAGATGATCCCAGTAACAATCACTGCCTCTTAACCAGTGGGAATGGCATGTGGCTCTAGAAAATATCAGTTTTAGCAAGATACTTGTTATTTTAAAAATAAGGGGACAGTTTAAAAGATTTCAGAACCCAAGTTGTACAAGAGGTGGAACAGACAAAACAGATACACCATGAAGAGAGAAGTTTTATAATGTTAAAAATTCAGGAAAAGAAAGTAAGTTGGCCTGAATGATCTAGGTAATTTTGCCCTAATTCCCTGTTTGGGGTTTATGTTTCGTTTTTGAAAAACTCCTAACCTCTCTTTCCTAACCCTGAAAACCACAAGTAAAATAAATATGGTATTTGGTGAGTCCCATTAATGTGCTCAGCAATATACAAAACCACCGCCCTGGACCCTTTCCCTGCCCACCCAGGGATCAGCAATTTGTTCTCAAACACATTTCAAAGCCGTGGCCAAGGATTCCAGTAAACAGAACACACACATATACAATGTATATACACGTGATGACAAGAGAGGAAAAATGTGTTTTGTTGTAGCTTCTGATAGCCATTGAGCAGATGAGGAAGAGTCGTCCACTCATTATTAAGAGAAAATAGTTTCATAGATAATCAGGGTAATTTAGACTTTATCACTTTATAAAATCCAGGGGTTTTTTTCTACGTTTCTAAAAAAGTGAGTTCCTTTTATTTTCCAGTACATTTCAGCCCTGATCGAGAGCTTCTAAAGCTCACTCTGAAACAGTGATGCTTGAGACACTTACTTTGGTTCCAGTTGAATAGAAGGAACAGTCTAGGACTTAGGAGAATTTTTGCAGCTTTTTAGGGTTGGAAGTTTTTGAGAACTTGGGCAGGAAGTAGTCTTCTGCTCTGGGTAGTATTTAAAACTTTGAGGTCAAATAATTTTAAGATTTGGCTAGCCAACTGTAAGAATACATCTGGTTTTCTGACTTCTAGTATTCTGTACATATGTGTTCCTATGCAAGTTGTCCCTGTAAAGAAAAACCAGTTGTCAAAATCTCCCTGGGATCTGAGATTTACAAGGCTTCTGTATATGTATGTATAGGGCGGTAGATAATTTCTTACATAACTTTACAATTAATAAAATAATTCCAAGAATTTGCCTCTAATTTTGGACTAGATGGTATTCTCTTAAAACACTTGGCAGTTCTCACTTGACCGACTTTACTAAAGTTAATAAATATATAAGTAACAGACATAATTATTTGTCTTATCGTTTAAGTTTCGTATATTGAGACATTCTAGTAGTAGATAGAAAATATTTTTGGTCACTGAATTTTCAAAATGGAAATCAGATAAACAGTAATCTGGTCTTATTTTTACTTTTATGTTGTCTGTGTCATTGGGTACTTTTCAGGCTGATTACAAATCATTGCTGAAAGGTGTTTTATTATGTCGAAGCACTGGTATTAGAGTAATTTCTCCTTAAATTGCTTTGAACATTCTTGTACTTAAAACTAAAACAGAAAAACCTGGCCTTGTTGGACTATTGATCAAAAAGATGTTTGTCAGATGTTGGGCAGAAATCACACAGAGTCAGGTCTTCAGAAGTTAATACAAATCTTTTACCTCGCATTCCGCCTTTTAAAGTACTTAGTAATTTTGCCCAAATATTGGGGTCGTGAAGGAGTTGTTTCTTATGTAATTGTCACAGAGAAGGGGTACCGTGGTAGTTTGATGCGGCAACAGCGGGTTTTCATTGAGCAATAAGATTAATCTACATTATGACCTGGGGAAAATACAAAATGGTTTTGTACAGTTTAACCAAGTTTGGAGTCTGTTACTCCAAATCAAATCAAATGCAATAAACTTATATTTCAATCATAAATAGGATTTGGTGACAGTGTCTTGGATGAAAATGTGGTGACTTCATAGTAAAATGTTGCTGCAGGACCACTGCCAATATGGCATGCATTTCTGAGTTATTTTTCCAGTAGTGGTTTTAAAATTTCCCTGATAAACCCTTATGCTCACTTGTCATCTGTTTCTAACGGTATTTGTTTGTTGGATAGATAGATTGGATGCTCTTATTTGAGGACCGAAGCCTTTGACGTTTGTGATGGGGCAGTGAAGTGGGAATTCTTGTGCACTGCGATGGGGATATGAATCACGGCAGCTTTCGGAAGGACTTGGCACTGTATATGAAAATTTCAAGCCCTTTGATTCCGCGCTTTTATTTTTAGAAATTTACCCGAAGGAAATAATAAGCATGCACAAAGATTTATTTAAAGGGATGATGCTTAGAGGTATTTATGATAGGGAAAATTCACAGAGACTCTGTGCCTAACAGCGAAATTGCTGAGTAAATCATGGTGTAATTCCTCAAAGAGAATATTAGGTAGCCATTAAAAGCCACATTTTTAAAGAATGTACGTGTGTGCGTGCATGCGTGTAAATTTTTTTTTGGTGGCTTAAAACAACAGAAATCTATTCTCAGTTTTGGAGGCTAGAAATCTGGAGTCAAGGTGTTGGTATTGCTCCCTCTGAATGCTGTAGGAGAGAATCTGACTTTCTCTTCCAGCTTCTACATTTTAATTGAGGGGTTAATTCTCATGACATAAAGTGAAAAGAGCAAAAATAAAAGTTTTATATTATGTGATGCCAATTTTAAAAAATAACCAAACATTAATAAAAAAAAACTATCTGGTGGATTACAGATCATTTTTATTTACTTTCTGGTGCTTTTCTGTGTTTTCTAAATTTTCTATAATGAACATAGGAACAAAAGCAATTTTATGTCTTTTCTCTTAGATTTCAATAAATGCCCTTGAAATATCTGTAGGTGTCACAAAACCATTGGGTTGGTCACATTTTGTTTTGCTGCCAAGCCTGGCCTGGGGAATCAGGCCTCTGATCCTCACAGCCTTTCCTCATAATGTTTATCTCATTCCCTTATCCTGTCTTTTCCTAGTGATCTTCAGCTGCTCTCCTTGTATAACGTGCTTTCTCAATCCATTCTAACACACACTGCTGGGTCCTCTGGTGCCCTAGCTCCTTCAGCACTCAGTGAAGTCCAAATATGACACTCAAGCTTCCTCCTAAGGTACCTCCGTACGTACTCTGCACACCATTTGTTTCAACCACCCTTTCCCTCTTGGTCTAGCTTGAACTGCTTTCCAGGCAGAAGTCAAGTTTCAGCCTACATTTTGCAAGATCTCATCACCTGAATGCCCTATCCCAAAGAGAGGCTTTTCCTTAGAATTCC